GCAGGAATACATATAACCATGCGACTGCATTAACATGAACCATGCGGTCGCAATGCATCCGGAGCAAAAATTTTCCCAGAATTTTAGCCAGTCACCAAAGTTAATAGATTTGGCCAACAATTTGTTTTGATCCTTTAGCATTTGTCTCCTTATTCAATTAGGTTTTTTTTAATATTTGTTTCCATATTTAACAATAGTTTTGGACGTATTTACTAGGTTGATAGTATTTTATAATTTTAATTCCTTTTAAATTAGGTTTTAGAATTTTAATACATTTTTAATTAGTTTCCTAATTTTTAGTATAAATTGGACTCTCTTCATTATTGCAAAATTAAAAGTTATTTAAATGTTGATCAAATATATAAGTACGTAAATAAAGTAGATCCAATAAGATTAGATAGTAACAAATTAGATTAATATAAAATTTGTAGTAAAACATTATCATTGCATACAAAAATAGCCAAAATGATCCCTTTGCATTTGTCCTCTTATTCAATTAGGTTTTTTTAATATTTGTTTCCATATTTAACAATAGTTTTGGACGTATTTACTAGGTTGATAGTATTTTATAATTTTAATTCCTTTTAAATTAGGTTTTAGAATTTTAATACATTTTTAATTAGTTTCCTAATTTTTAGTATAAATTGGACTCTCTTCATTATTGCAAAATTAAAAGTTATTTAAATGTTGATCAAATATATAAGTACGTAAATAAAGTAGATCCAATAAGATTAGATAGTAACAAATTAGATTAATATAAAATTTGTAGTAAAACATTATCATTGCATACAAAAATAGCCAAAATGAAAAATAAGTTAAAATGAAAAAGTCTCATAATCTTGTCAAACTTCCATCAATGTGATTTTTTTTGTAGATTAAAAATTTCAGAGATTCGTTCTTCAGTAGTTCAAAGACGCATGTATCACCCATTTGTAATTCCTTCAAAGAGAGAAAATGTGCCCAGTTTATAGTGAGACAACGTATCACACCATTTGGCCTTAAATTTGTGTGATATCCCAATTTTGATGTGAGGAGTCGTGAATTTGAACAGTACAGACGAATTTTGGCAATTGCAGCTCGACAAATCTTCCCAGTATATACTGTAATGCCATGAATGAATTATTAATCTTGAGGTCATAATTATAGGCCGAGTACAATTGCAGAATGAAGATATTTATTCAAAAGGAGAATTACAATTTTTCGATGGCTGTATTTATGGGGTGTTAACTTCACTTCGAATGCAAGATTACTCATATTCGAATTGTTGCTTTCTTCACATTCTTCCGAGTCATAATTCACTTCTAACCCAAAATCATCCATTATGATCACGTTGAATGTAGAATTTCCGGTATATTCAAATATTAGGCAATAACCATCGTGTAAATTGTGATGGTCGAAAAATTGCTCTCATCCATCAGTTAAATATATTTTTCCATTAACTATTTCTAATCTTATTGTCGCAATTATACCATCGTACGCAATTACACGTATTGTATCGCCGAATCCATGTCTCCAGTCTTTCGCAAATGATCTAGGAATCATCTATATATATACGGACGAAAACTATAAGTACAATATGAGAAAATTTTATTCCAACTAAAAAATAATAATATTGTATGACTGACTATATTGATGCCGTGATTGAAGGAATTATTGATAGTTATGTAAAAACGACGTGGAACGTCCATTTTGAAGCACTGCAGTGAAACAATTTTTACAACGATAACATGTACATATTTTTTTCATATGAATGAAAGAGTAGGTTTTTATAACACTATAACAAAAACGAATAAGAGATTGTGTGCATCTATAGATTTTTAGGTAAAAGTCCGTCAATCTTCGAATAATTTATAACTTAAAACTATAGAATTAAAATAGAAGAAAGTAAATAGAAAAAGACCTGTTTCAATGAAGCACCAACAAGTCTGGAGTAAGATATGCAAATTTGGAAGGCTAAAAATTCTTGTAAGTAAATATTGAAAACACATAATTATATAGGCTAGATAAAATGTACTTTTCGTTCTTATTCATTTAGCCCCCTTTTAAAAAATTTATTTGCCATTATTTGTCTCCATTTGAAAGAGGACAGGGCCCCATGTGCCATACCGTTCATTCTGGACTCCTACTGTTATAAAGAATTACCCATTGCACTATTTTTTCACATGCATTTGCATTACTCAACCTTCTTTTTAAATTTGTTGGGGTCCATCTCTGCAATGTACATTACACTTTGCAGAAATTCTTTTTCTAAAGCCAAATGTTGGGCGAAAAGGACGAAGAAATCCTATTGTTTTTTTTACTACATAGGACAAAGAGGGGGGGGAGGGGGTAAGATCATCATTTTGTGCTGCATTAATGACTGCGCTCCACTGACATGGCAACAATGTCTGAATTACATGACTCAACGGGCCTGTAGTTCGCATTGAAATTCACGAAAATGTGTTATAATGCCAAAATATATGTTCAGAAATCAAACAGAGATGAGGCTATCTTGGTCAATAAAGGGGGTTGAAAAATGGATGAAAAAATAAAGTAACTTCGTGGGGCCAAAGACACGATTTGACAAGAGGTACTAGAAATAGATAAATTCTTATTAAAACAGGTTCACAGGTTACAAAAGTAGATGAATTATATTATTGAAAATAACTATTCTCGTTGTTCACAAAAAAAAAAAAAAAAAAAAAAAAAAAAAAAAAAAAAATTTTTGGGGGTTTTTTTTTTTTTTTTTTTTAATATAAATTAAAATATTGAGGGTTTTTTTTTTTTTTTTTTTTACATATAAGTACTTTTTACAATTATATATATATATATATATATATTTTTTTTTACCTTTTTTACTTTCAAATAAATTTTGACACTCTAGATATAGTAATCCTTTTATTAAAATATAGTTTCAATAACAATATATATTTTCATATTTATACTAAAAGAAGTCTAAAAATAATATTAAATAACGAAAACTTATCAAAGAAGAACACTCTTTTAAAAAACAAAGTTAAATCATAGATAAAGACAAAGCAATTAAAAAAATAAAAAAATGAAATAGAAATAGAAATAGGAAAAAGAAAGTGTGCAGAGATGTGTCCACTCCATGGAGTAGTTGCAAGGAGTTGTTTCACTCTATACAAACTCTGCACATGGAGTGAAACCACTCCATGCAAGAAGTGTTCTTATTCCGTGTTTGAAGTGCCATATCTTCTTTTTTATTCAATTTTTTTAATTCATTTTTTGTTATTAATATTTTATTCAAAATAATTTGGGTTTTTTTTTTTTTTTTTTTTTTACATATAAGTACTTTTTACAATTATACATTTTCTTTTTTCGTTTTTTTTTTACCTTTTTTACTTTCAAATAAATTTTGACACTCTAGATATAGTAATCCTTTTATTAAAATATAGTTTCAATAACAATATATATTTTCATATTTATACTAAAAGAAGTCTAAAAATAATATTAAATAACGAAAACTTATCAAAGAAGAACACTCGTTTAAAAAACAAAGTTAAATCATAGATAAAGACAAAACAATTAAAAAATTAAAAAAATGAAATAGAAATAGGAAAAAGAAAGTGTGCAGAGATGTGTCCACTCCATGGAGTAGTTGCAAGGAGTTGTTTTACTCTATACAAACTCTGCACATGGAGTGAAACCACTCCATGCAAGAAGTGTTCTTATTCCGTGTTTGAAGTGCCATATCTTCTTTTTTATTCAATTTTTTTAATTCATTTTTTGTTATTAATATTTTATTCAAAATAATTTATTTGCAAAAATGAAATATGTATAAATATTTACTTAAAAATATTTACGTTCATTTTTTACTATAAGTAACTTTTACAATTATAAGTTTTTGTTATTATTTTTAAATAAACTGGAATATTTTTTTCTTATAAGTTATTCTTTACATTCGAGATAGTGTAATTTTTTTATCACTATTTAATTTGAAAAATAAAATATATTTAAATATTTATACTTCAAAAATTTTACGTTCGTATTTTTTTACTTATAATTAGTTTTTCAAGTATAAGACAAAAACAATTATTGAAATTTTTACTATTTTTAAAATTTTGTTTAAAAAAACTAAGAATAGCAAATATTTATATTTAATTCAATAAATTAAATATATTCAAATATCTAACCTGTACGTAGCCTTTACAATTAAAAATTAATTTTTTCTTCTAAATAACTTTACGTGAATTTTATACTTATAAGTACTTTTTACGTTTTATAAACAAAATTTATTTCGTTAATAGTATTTTCATTTTTTCATACTCTTGTTTGAAAAACTAAATTATTTTTTAGTTATAAGAAACTTTTTATATTTTAAAAATAAAGAATCACTTTTCTATAAAAAAAAAAGTATTAAAAAATATTATTACTAATAAAATTATATAATCTAATTCACAGTTGATAATGTGAAAAATGGAGAAAATGTACACGTTCAACTATTTTGAAGTTGGGTTTGCCAACACCCGATTTTTCACACGCCATTTCAGTGTACTGTCATCTCCACTGCAATGTTTGTCCATTACTTTGAATCTGACACGCAATGTTTCTTTTCTATTTTTTCACCCTATCAACTATCAACCATTTATTTCAGTAGAAAAATATTTATTTAAATCATTTTTTTTACAAAATAATTCTCTATTTCTATCTAAAATATTAAAAGTTACGTGTAAATAAAAAAATCACGACTAATAATGAGATTAATTTAATTTATAAAATGTACAAAAATTACCTATACACCGAATTTTTTTGTTACATTTCCTTAAGTTTAAAAAAAATTATAATTGTAAAAGCAACATTTAGGTAAAAAAAATTATTTAGTATGACATCATTTTGGTTTTGATGTTATTTTAATAGTTTATTTTCATTTTTTTCCGTAATTTCAACATGAATATTAGGGATTCTCAAAATACCGAACAGTGGCTACCAAAATTACATAACACTTGAATAAAATACATTATTTACAGTCATTAAATGACTACATTCAATTACTCCATTACAATATGACAAATTACATCACTCCATTACAATAACGAAGACAGACGTGGATGAAGGAAATATTCATTATTTAAAATATCAACTGTAATTTTTTTGTCTATATATAATCATCCTGTCTGGTGAAACTCATTATATCAAATATCCTAGAACAAAACATTCTATATATTTAAGCACGAAAACTCCACAGTTTAGCCTGCAAAAAAAAAAATTCTTTTTTGTAATTATTACGTACGAATAAATATCTATTATAGTAAACACGAATTATTTTCAATGCTTACCCGTTGTTTGCACAGGGTAGATATGGTATAATCTCTACCTTCATTTCTTTATTTTTGTGTTTGCTTATATCTCGTCTCGCTGCAAAACCTTTGTCGAATAGTAAAGAATTAATCACAGTAACTGTTGCATTCGCATGTGCCTTCACTTGATCTGGTGTATGCTCATTATGGCTGCAATCGTATATCTGGAATTTCCACTCCGAAATATTGACAAAAAAAAGTTACCAAGTATTTTCGGGAAATGAACATGAAATTACCAAGTATTTCCATGATTGCAAATTCTTTAGACACGTGGGTACAACCATTAATAATTAATCATCTCAACAACTTCAACTCCAACTCAATTGCCTGATGGAATAAATTGATAAAAATTAAATATGTTAAGTATGAAATAAAATTGATTGTAATGGCTAAACTGTACTCACCACAGTATTTATATCTTTTGTTCTATCCAATAAAATTTTCAACCAAGCTCTTCCGTAGATGTTTCCAATGGCATCTTCCAAATATATACTGCATAGCAAAATTAAAATTAGTGCTAAATAAATCGAAATAAAATTGTAGTATTTAAACCAATAATAAAAAATTATCTTTGTAACCCTGATTCGTTCTTCACTATCCAGTCTCTAAGAGTAGAGTATTTTTGCATAAAATAGTCTTTCAAAGGACGTCTTCTAGACGACGAAGATTGTATTTGTTTTTGCTTCTTTTTCTTCTCTCTTTCTGATGTTTCAAAACTTTTGACTTGTTGAGACGTTGATGCATCTTTCGGTCGATCATCGGGAATTAGACCTGTACCAATAGGAATGTCTTCTTGCATACAACTAATAATGGCTTCCATGTTTGATTTCCATTCAAATAATTTCTACAATATATTCTTATTTTGTTCATCAACATAATATCACATAGAATCTAAACTGGTATCTACATAAGAGTGCATGGTCTGATAATGATCTTCTTGCCATTTTTTTTTTGTTGATGGAATAATTGTTCCTCTTTCTCCAAATGTGTGTTTAAAAAACTCGATAATGAGTTATCCATGTAGGAACGTATACTAAATTGCGTGTAATCCTCCTGCCAATTTTGGTGTTGTTCGAACAACCGTCTTTGATTATCATAAACTTCTGTTCTCAAGTTGCCGCATATATCAAACACCTCTTTTATTATGTCTTGCTTCTGGACATCCAGTAGTTCTATCGTCCGGTCTTCGGTTACATAATTAGAGGCGCTAGATCCATAATTAGGCCCCGCTATTGGTGAAGTTCTTGACGTACTAGGAATGGTCATCTCTGGCACATATATATTATCCCTTTCTTCCTCAAAAGTATTATCTGGGATTTGTCGTGCCATATTATCTAATTCTCCACGGACGATGTCATCTAATACACTATGTTCATTGTCAGCTGACAGTGAAAGATTTATATACCAAGATGTCTTCAATTCTTCCTCCGTATGATGTAACGTTGAAATAACCTGAATCTGTAATTTTAATAAAATATCAAAATAATTTTTTCATTTTTATTTTTAAATAATTAAACAAAAATGTAGTTATATATTCATTAAAAGAAATTGTACCTCTCGAGTAGTCAGAAAATACTTAATCGTTTTTTCAGTCAGCAGTTTATTAGGCCTCCACTTATACATTCGTGGACTCTGTGCTATTTCGTATCGACGCCGGTCCAAATTTTTGTCCAATTTCTAGAAATGCCTCATATATCCAATATTGCATCACAATTACAAATTACAATTATTCTTCTTTTACAAATAAATTAAGTCAACAAAAGAAAACAAAATATGAATAAAATACCTGAAATGCAAGTGGATACTCTCGTAGTGCATACTTACAATCTATTTGTTCGTTGCGTCATACTTTTTGTGCTCTTTGCAATTGTGGTTCTTGTAGTGAATTTAACAAAACAAAATATCATTTTCGACCCTGAGGATATCCAAGAAATTCATCAAGGTGCTCGACCATACCAAGAGTTTTGTAATCAATAATTCTTCCAACTGATTTTATAACACACTCCACCAACATAACTAATCCCAACTTATATTTATCTACTTCATCTTCACATTCATGGAAAACTTCAAATAGCATTCTCATGGTAATTCTTTGACTACCATTGAACTAATGATTTCTATGATCAATCACCATGACTGATTCATGACAAGGTAGTCTAGTGATAAGACAAAATTCTTGCATACCAAATCTAATAATACGATCATCTAATTTTACCCATACTTCGTTATTTTTGCCAGTCTACAAGCCGCATTACAAATTCATATTCCAATCTACTACTAAATAGCTCTTCCTCTCCTCTATAAATAATTCCAGAAAAAAATTCATAAAAATTACTGCAAATCATAAAACATTGTTGATTTGCATCTATAAATTCTATAAAGTCTTTAAGGTATTCCCGATTTGGATATTGACTAATAATAGCAGAAAACCATTGATTTGGAGAGAATATATATTCCAAAGACATCTGCATAAATAATTTGAAAACAAAATATTTGTAAAGAAATTTAACAATTCTAAACAAGCGGAAAACTAATATTTATATAGATTAAAAAATACATGAACAGTAGAAAATTTAAATCTTTGTGCATAGAAATCCAAGGCTTGGGTTGTCACGCACGAAAACCGAAGGATCTCCGCACGGAGACCTTGAAAAAAGGCCTTCGTGCATGGAGGTTTCACACCTCCCTGCCTTATAACCTCCGTGCACGGGTTTCTTAGCTCCCGTTGCTAGTATCCTCTGTGCACGAAGGTTCAAGTAAGACAAAAATCAATTATATTTCTCAAGTAAATACTTGCCTTGATTTGCTATGGATGGTGCTTGCTTCACTGTAATTGGCTTTGATTTTAGGTAGATGATGAAGTTTTTGGGATATAAAAGGAATGGTATAGATAAGGATAAGATATCAATTACATGTGTGATAGTAAAAAGTCTTCTAGACAAATAAAATAATTTTTTTCACTATTTATTATACATATGCATATTTGTATATTTATATATTATTTAAATTAAATGAATTAATTTATAGCATGATTTCTCTTTCTACAAATAAATATAAAATGTATATATTTCTTTCGATGTAATTTAAACTAAATATTATCTTCATTAAAACAATTCAAAACGATTTTTATACTATAAGTAAAACTTCACTTTTCCATGCTATATATTAAACGTTTGAGTACTCCTCATATGTTTGTCTATTCCAAATTGTCACGTTTTTAATTTTAATAAAATAAAATAATAAGAACTAAGAAAATAATCCTATATTCCATTGCGGCCGTATTTGTACTATAAGTGAAATTTCAAAGCGATCTCCATATCTTATACCAGTGATTACACAGTAAAGTATGACTATTTAGATAGTAAGGTATGGCTATTGATGAGATTTTACAATGTAAATAATTTTATTTGTTTTAAACATTAAAAAAAAGGTTCAATATTCAGTCTTTCTTTTTTTAGTTTATCCCATCTATGCTTCCTTTTTTTACAATTGACACATGGACACATAAATACTTTAACATCGTCTTTCCAACATCGTCTACCCAACATTAAAATATTTATTAAGTGACTATGTCTTAGTGTTTATTTTATAAATAGGCTAACACAAAGCTTCAATTTCACATTTGCAAAAATATAAAAATTATCGTTACCATTTACAGCTTTCATACCGTAAGAAATTCTAACTTCTATCCATACCATCTTCTTCTTCTTCTTCCAACATATCAACAATTGCTATACTTATTTACACTCTAACTTGTCACTCATATCATTTACAGATAACAAAATGGCTGCACCTCATAAATTCATTCCACAAATTCCAGTTTCAGAAACCAATCGGTCAGCAAAAGTTATCGTCGCAGAAAAACAATTCCCAAAGACTGCTCGAAATTCCAATAGCCGTTATCAAAATCCTACTCTCATGGATTTAGAGGTACAAACAAAACTCTTGTTTCAATAAATTTTTACCTATCACTATACCTGTGTACTTTCTAAATATTTTCATCTTTTTCTAATTTTCAACAGGGAAACAAAATCACAGCAACAATGTATGATGCCAATATCACTGCACTAAACAATGAGTTTGAAATTGGAAAAACATACATTGTGTCAAACGCAAAAGTTAAATATTTTAATGAATTTCGGAGTTCTCCTAAAAAAAATGTGGAATATAACAGGAAGAACTATGGTTCAAGAATTAAATGAAGACAATTTGAATCTCATGTTCTCAAAATTTGAACTTACTGCATTTGATCAACTAGAGAGGCATATGGACAAAAATACAGACATAAGTAAGATTTCTACTGCATTAAATTTAAATAAATAATTTCATATAACATTTCATAATTCATTTTAACGTTCAAATTTATTGCATGCAAAATGACATATAAAATATTTCATCATTTATTTTTAAGTTCAAATTTATTGCATGCAAAATGACATATAAAAAATTTACGTAACCTTGTAGGCGTGATCGGTGTTGCTATAACTGTTCAACAGAAACGCCTTATTCAAACTAACTTTGGTACACAAGCTTATCTACAAGATGTAGTCTTGATAGATAAAGAATTCAAAACTGTGATACTGACATTATGAGATACCTTTGTCGAAAGAGAATGTGCTTAGATAATTGAACATCTTCCAAATAGACCCGTGGTATGGGCTACAAATCTCAAAGTGTCTTCGTTCAATGGTAAATTTCTTTTACAAATACAGTTCCATGTATAGTATTATTCTTTTTTTTCCAACAAAAATAATAATCATGTAAGATATTCATAATTTCTTTTGTACAAGCATCACACTTTCGACTAAAGTAAATAGCAGTTTTTCATTAATGTCCAACTACAAGCTGTTGCAGAGTACAAAGAATGATAATACAACATACCTAATATACATATTGCTTATTTACGTACCTTTCATACAAAAAACAAAAAAATAATATTTTATAACTAAATATATCATTATTTCTTGTAGGGTGGAAGCTAACAAAGAAAAACTTGACAAATTGATGGAAAATAAACATTTTATTGCTGTCAACCCATCGAAACTTTCTCCTCCTACTGATAATGAATTGACACCGATTGAGGATTTAATAGGGGTGTATCTAACGGTACTTCTATACTAATGAACTAAATATAATTAAGAGAAATACATGAGTTCTAATTTCACAATAAATATTATAGTAACATCACACATTTTCCTCGATACTATCTTTTTATCTAATTACATGAAACATCTCCTTTAATAGAAAAAATTCTACTGGGTGAATGCACGCTGGAAAATAGCATCAAAAAATCAAAAATTTTGGTATATGTCTTGCAGCAACTACAAGAAAACTTCAAACCCAAACTTTGGAGAAATTCATAAATGTCGATTCTGCAAATACGAACACTCAAAAGCTATCCTAAGGTAATTTCTTCCATTAAACATAAGATCGAAAATTTATTAATTATTACTTCAGGAACAAGGTATATAGTACATAGCTAAAAAAAAGCGCATTTTTTAGGGTAAATGCTTTTGTACAACTTGAAGATAAATATGGTTCCTTAGATGCAACCGTCATAGGAGATGAAACAGAAGTGTTACTGGAAAGTAGCGCTAATGACTTAATGAACCATCTTCAAGAGGTAAAACATCATGTTCAACATCCTTTGACAATGCTTTCTTTCATCACAACAAACATGTCACTCTATTGAAATATATTTCGTCGACCACAAGAAGGAAACAAAGAACTCAATGGCGTTGTGAAATTGGAAAGTGATACAGAGCTACTCTTTTACCTAAAGGCAACAAAAAAGCGCCATGACCCACCTGAGTACCGCTTTAAAATCATATTCGTGTTCAACTCCTCCACAGCATATGAAATAGATTCCTCAATTTATTATAGAAGATGCAAACAAGCAAATTGAAATGAAAAAAAGTTCCAACAACAAAGATGTAAAAGGCAAGAACAAGGTGTCCGGCCGACCCGACAACATTTCCATCACCACTGAAGAAATCAATCCACCGCATGCTAAAAGGTCTCATTTTCAACTATCAAATGTGCCTATTGAAGCAAAGTTAAAACCCAAAAAAAGACTCACACAGGCTCCAAAATCGATGAACGAACTACTGCGATCACCTCGAAAGAAAAACATGAATGAATAACGTCTATATTACTTTTGTGACTACTTTTGTGGAAATAAACAGTAATCAAGTGTTTTATTTTGTAGTTCTGGAAAAAGTACCATAATATTTCTATATCTTTGTCTATGTACACGATCCTAATCGTATGCCTTCAGGTAAAGAACTACTATTAAAGTTCCACCAAATAGCAAAAAATTACTACTTTTGAAATTAAAAGTTTGTTGTATCCATCTTACTTTCCTTTTTCTCCTTTCCATTGCAAAAACAATGAAATATTACTATATTAAATCATTACATTTCAAAATTAATATCACAGCTTACATCCAATGATTCTTTTTTTTAACTAATTAATTCACCTTTTCTTTAAACACTAAACTGATATCAACATTAAAAACTAAAATTTTTTCAACATTAAAAATGCTAACATAACGTTAAACATAATCCTGCCCGTGCATTGCACGAGCAATAGACTAGTATATATAAAAGAGAGGATCCATTTCTACTGTTCATTTTTGGGGCATAGCATTCACATTGGATTGATTTGGAATTGGTTCAGCACTATTCACTGAAAAAAGGATAAATGATGTCGTGTAATAATTGTATTGTTCGGCTTTTTTTTTTTTTTTACACTGTTGTTTTTATTCATCTGATGATTTCTCATCCAACCCTACTCTCCATTGTCCTCTAGCAAAATTCAAAAATCTCTCCCCAAAAATATCAATTCTAACAGTGAAATTGAAATCCTTAGGAGATCGTTTAATTTTTTTCCTCTATTATTGTTCGAATATCTTTCTCTTTGTTGTTAATCGCTTGTTTCTTTCGCCCCTCGCTTGGTTCAAATTCGACCAACAAGAGGAAAAATTTCACAGAAAGTATACCGTAACACCTTTATCCTACTTTATCTCTTGCCTTTTGTTGAGTATGCTTCTTTGATTTCTATATTTCTATTTCTCTTCGATCGATCTCTTCTTTGAGTTTAGGATTTTCTAAGTTGTATTGAGATTTTCTGTCATCTCCTTCTTTTGCTTGTTCTTCTATGTATTTGTTTGATTTTTAGATCTGCATTTGGTTAATTATTTTCGTATTGGGGTTTTTTCGAACTCTGCGCGAGTTTCTATTTTATTTTTTCCATCTCTTCTTTCTACATATGTGTACATCTTAGGCTTTTTTCTTACCTCTATTTTTATTTGTTTGATGTGTTTTGGGTTTTTCTCAGATTTGTTCTACATGGTTAAATTAAATTTATGCGAGTTGCTCATTACATCCATTCACTATGAAATTACTAAATTAACTATTGCTTTTGCTGTTGTATGAGGCATTTGTTAAATAATTTCAAGCTAGATGTGAAGAAACCAATTTTCCTGTGATTGATATAGTAAGTATTCATGATCAGTTTCCAATTCAAATAAGTTATTATGGTTCATTATTACTTCCAATATTGTAAACTGATTATTATTGTATTAGAACTGTTGAACTACTTAAAATTTATTCCTTTCAAAAGTAGCCTCTACGATCCATTTCGCCTGTTTAGCTGAAATTAGAACTTGTAGTGTAGTTTTCACATACTTTTAAAAATTAATATTATTTTCACATAATGGATAATTGTTTATTATGAGATTGTTAAAGAGTGTTTCTTTTGCTTCTCAATTCTAATTATTAGCTATTTATCTTTATTGACTTCAAGCTGTTATTAAGAAGAAATGTAGCCTAAATGCTACCAATGTTGGTGATGAGGTTGGCTTTGCCCCTTATATTCAGGTTGAACATTTTATTTTGGTGGTTTTACTTTCTCGTCCTTTGATTTCTACAATCCACATTTACAATATTATGTCTGTTCAATTTCACGAGAACAAAGGTCTTCAATTGATCAGGACGACCATTGCTAAAGCATGTTATACAGCAAAAGTTCATTCTCCCCTTTTCTTTTCATTTATGTGTTTGGTTCGTTCGATGTTCTATAATCACCTTGTATTTCTTCTATCTTCACCTTGTGAAAGAGTAAAACTTCTAAAGCTTGCTTCTTCCTTCTACTCAGGTTGTCATTGGAATAAATGTTGCTGCATTAGAATTTTATAGATCGGACAAAACTTATGATTTGAAATTGTCAAGGCAATGGATGCAAGCAACCCTGGTAATTAATGCCAATTGTTAGTTTTAATACAAATTTTCTCATTATTAGTTCTAAATTGTTTAAATTAAACATATTTACTTTAGTTGACAATTTGATTCTAATGAATAAAATCTAACATAACTATCATCTCCAATAGTCATTTAAGCTCATTTTGTGTTATCGAAGGTTCTGACCACATTAGGATATCAGAGCAGCTTTGAAAATCAGGTGTACTCCAACTTCATTCTGATTTCAAATACTCGGCTAATTTATTTAATGAATTTGGCTGTTGATCTTGCCTTTTATGCAGTTGGATATAAACTACTATGACCTTGGCCTTCCCTAGTGAGATGTTGCTAATGACTAAAAAAACCATTCAAATTGCATAAGCTACTTTTGAGTTTGACATCCTATGTTCTCGATTTGAATAAATATTATAATAGGACTTCGATATCTTCATTTTCTCATTTGCTTCATAATATTTGCAGTAGAGATAAAATTTTCAACATTTGTATTTTTAAGTTTTCTATTACAATTTTCGTAAATATGTATTCGTTCTTCTTCTTAGTTGATAGTTATTTTGTATGTTGAAATTGTAGGTTCAATTTAGTAATTAAATGTGCCACCATTTCTCCTGGTAGGCACAACTCTTCTTAAATTGTTCGATGCTATGCGATGGCTCTTCAAATCATTTTATCTTTAAATTATGAATCAGATCATTATCCCTTATACACATTAATAAAAGAGGAAATGTGATGTGCATTGTTCATTTTTGTCCCCTCGTGTTCACACTCAATCAGGATAGGCACTATTCAAAAACAAGTTTCATACTGTTCATCAAAATATCTTTGGTATATATTATATAAATGCCTTTTGTACCTCTTGTAATACCATTTATACCTTCCTAATCTCTTAAAGAATTGTAGGTAGCCATTAACTTCGATCAGCGATAAGAACGACAAAGACGAAGACATGAAGAATAAGGTTTCGTCGCGATACCTCGAGTTGGATAAATTTTTGTTTTGGGATATCTATTTTCCTTCTTTCTAATTTTACTTTCTAAGTTTAGTCGCATTTTTCTTTGTTTAAATTTGGAGGTTTTGAGTATATATGATACCTGGGCATTTCATAAATAGCTTAAATAGTTCTTTAGTTTTGGGAATTCCATATTCTGATTTTTTGAGGTAACTCATTTACCTTTGTTTAGATGCTTATTCTTTGTTCTCCGTGTCTGTTAGTTTGTTTCTGAACCGAAACTAACTTCCTGTTCTTAAATTCATTCTTTTGATTTAATTTTTTGAATTTCAAGTCTATTCCTATTTTTAACTTCTGTTGTTTAAATAGTGTATGCCAATAATGTTGTGAGAATGCAATTTATTAGTTCCATGGTTCATGTAGTGGACCTCCGTGATTTCTCCATTAGTATCCTTGCTTGACGTCTGGCAAACATTGAATTAGTTGAAGTAGACCTCGGTTTGGCTTCAGATCCCAATCTCAACATCTCGAGCGGTCATCAGGTAAATGGAGTAGGACAAATACAAACTCTTCATCAAAAAAAAATTAAAAAAAAACAACAATGAAACAATATTTTCATATGCAATGAATATTATTTATGAGTTGCTTCTCATGTTCTGTGAATAGCCGTCACATGAGGAATAAAAGCATTTAACAACTTGGACTAATTCTATATTTGTTCCTTCCAGATAAGGAAAAAAAGGATGTGAAAGAATATATTTTTCTTCTAAGTTGATGAATCTCCTTTATTGATCAATATGTGATATTCCAACTCCTCATCACTACTGAAATCCAGATGATATTGCGATTAATTCGTTTTTCCCTAAACTCAATTACTCAAACAAAACTAGATCTTCATTCTTTCTTTGTTTTTTTTTTTTTCCTTTTTACTATTTTAACTGAGTAAATATCATTTCTTAATGCATTTGGTTAATTTTGGGGTTTCACTTGCACGCAATAGCCTATAGCGAAGGAGACAAGTACTATGGCGCAAAAGCAACTATTAATGTTTGGGAACCTAAAATACAGCAGCATCATAACGAGTTCAATTTGTCCCAAATTTGGTTACTGGGTGGTTCATTTGGTGAAGATCTCAATAGCATTAAAGCTGGTTGGTAGGTATATTTTTCTCCAAATTACTTGGTCGATCATAATTTGTTGCATTCATCTAACGGATTAGAATGCATGTTATTCAAGTTAGCCTTGATCTCTACGGGGATAACAACACAACCATTTTTGAATACATACCTATAGACAATTTAAAAAAGAATGCCAGCTCATATTAAATAGAAGTTAATTATAAGTACAAAAACTCAAAGAAAGCATTTAATGGAGGTTCTTAATAGTTAGTCTTGTGTTTTGGAACATGCTTATATATGTGACAATTATGCATCTCTTCCAATCCAATTTGGCACATCGAGTAAAAGCTTCAATTGGCACCCGATGTTGGATGTCTTTGATAACTGGAGCTAATTGGTTATATGTAGAGGAAATTTTACTGTTAGTTAATCTCAAGCATAAATAAAATAGTTAATCCATAAGCAAGCTAGAGTATAGTACGAATCATGCTGTAAATTTCTCTGTCAAAATGATTTTTCTTATATTTGTAGTTTTTTTTAAGGGACAAGCTTTGAGAAATTACTTGGCAATGATGAGAGAAGAGAAAGAAAATCCGGTTTTGAGAATTCTTAAAATGAAAGAACGACGAGAATCGATTCCCTAAAAAAGAAAGCACTGAACGTGTCTTCAAAGTCAAGCATTCTCTCAAGAAGAGCAGCAAAAGTAAGAGTGGTGTTAGTGGCAACTTTGTTTCATTTGAGGATATTCGGGAGGCTGATGAGCTGCAAGCTATTAAGGCATTTCAGCGAGCCTTGATGCTAATTGCCAAACAAGTTTGATGATTATCATATGATGTTGAGGTTATTATACAACACTTTTGCTACTTTTAGTCAAATGTTCGCATGTACGGATGGAAATATAAACTGTATCCTAGTTTAACATTTAGATGTCCTGATTTTATCCTCATTACTATAGAGATAACTAGACATCCCTTCCTCCTTTAGTAGGACAATTTATGATTTTGCTGCATTACTTTATAGTTTTTCCTATATTGTAGTCGGTGGTTAAGATTTGAAGGATTGCATTTAATAGTCTTTCCAGATAAGTTATTTTTCTATTTCTTGCAAACATTTTAGTAGATGGTTGGAAAATTTTCAACTATTCGAACTTTTGTTGATAATTATCTTGAAGTAACATTTCGGTCTTTTATTTGATAAGAGATATTAGGTTTTGTGTAGTCTTGGTAGTGTAATATATTGTGTCATCCAAATGTTGCAGACATTTCATAAAATATTTATCATCAAGATGGCCCAGGTATTATGCTACTGTAGAATATTGTAAAGAGTTTTCTTGATCCTAGGGCCACCACTAAATGCATGTATGTTGCTATTGCTTCCTTTTTTCCATCTGGAAACATTATTTTTCTCGCTTAAATGGCTGACTTTAATTACTCGGTCTATCTTTTTTGGAATATCTCACATGTTCTTGGAAACAAATATAAGAACAAGTTGCTTGAAATAAAAGATACCAAGTGCAAAACAATGGAAACCGTTGTTGCAACTTGCGAACACTGAAATTTATTTCGAGATTCTGACGTATATTTTTGGGTGTGTGTAGTGCTCAGAATTCTTTGGTGGAACATATATCTTTGCAGACCAACGGGTTTGCCTTCGGTCAGATAAACGACCATGGAAAATTCCCCGAGATACAAAAGGTCTTTCCTAACATGGGAGCTATTAAATTGATCTACAAAAATAATATATAAATACTTGTGTTATAATTTTGATCATGTTAAAAAATAATAAATGGCTCGAAATCATGTTGCAGCTAGTGCTTGATGGTGAAGCAGGACTGCCAGGAAGGTGGTTGAAAATCTTAACAACGATGGAAAGATAGTTTATGCTAAGCCCCACTACTTGATTGTATAGACTATGTCTGTTGTGCATATGATTAGGCACAACTACACAATATTTCTATTTTATGTGAGATTTTATTTTTATTTAGTTGTTGAAGTAGGTAAAAGGCAGTGACACCTCAACTGTTGAATTTGGTTATGAAGCTGAAGATATTTCTTCACCAAAATCTATTAGGAGTTACTCGCACCTTTGATTGACTCTTGCTCGTGAGGAGGTATGGTCAAGCCTTACAATTTCAAGATTAGATATTTAATTATCTGCTAATGAAAATAATGTTTTCTATAAGTTTAATTGAAACCTCCCTTATTTAGTCTTGAGTCTGGTGGTAGCTTGTGCAAATATTTAATTTGGTGCTCGTAGGTCAGTTAGTATTTGCTTAATTGCAACACAAGTGCAAAATTATCAATTGCTTGATATCTTCTCTTTGATTGGTTTAAAAGCATCTATATATACCCTAAAAAGGTGGCCAGTTTCATGGAATTCAAATTTAGATCAAATTTTTATAGGTCGGGTTGTGCAATCTTTTGCTACTAAAAAATCAAGTAAAGTGACATTATTCAAGAGTTCATTAGTTATTTGATAATTATTATTTATAATGTCTATCATTTTATTTATGATATAAGGTGCAAATTCTTCATGAAATATAACTAAGCACACAATTTCTTGTAAGAAATATTTTTCCTATAAAACTAATTTTCCTTACTTAAGAAAGGGATATCTTTACCATATAGAGTGTGAACACAGCATAGAAAAGTGTTGACACTTTCTCAATCCCTCACAAAAATTAATGTGGAGGATCAACCTTTCTCTTTTGATTATCTCAGGTTAAAGCTAATGGAAACTCTAGCTTGGTAAATTATCACGATATGATGAGTATGTTCCTATGGTTGACAAAGTTGTTGATTCTGGATGGAAAAAGCAAACATCACTTTCAAAACCTTATGTTGTTAAAGGTTAGTTGCTTTAGAAGTTCCACTTTTGTAGTTGTCTCCATACATAATATTTGAATCAGCCTACGATCTCCTCATGCTTATTTATTCATCTAATACTTGCTTCGAAGACATAGGGGGTCTCCTTTTCTTCAGTTGAACCCATCTTTCTATCATTGCAAATGTCGCCTTAGGTGCTCATTTTTATTCTTATAACTCTCATCATATGCAGATCGTGTTTAGAGGTTATCTATGATTAACTTATGATTTTTCTTTTGTTAATAGCTATGCCTTAATAACATTTTGTTATATCCTGATATTAAATGACTGCTATATTGGAGATATAAGATTAGCTATGTCTAAATAAGATTACAATGACACTAGATTAGTAACTATTTTTTGATTGCATAGTATATGATTTTTCCTTTCTTTGATTTTTATATCTCGAGGTATAAGATAAGAGAGAAGGAAAAAATTGTTCAGGCATATTCTTCTTAGGATCTTGAAGAAATTTTTGTAAGTTTATTTGTATTACTTTGATCCTATATCAATTATTTATAGAAATTATTCTCAAAATAAACACTCCATTATTTTACTAGATCCATTTTATGTTACTATAATAATTTTCATATTCTAAATGTGTTGGCTACCAAATATCCTGATTAGGATTGAGGTAAGATTGGTATAATATAGAATCTATGTACCATAATTAATTTTATTAATATTCTAGGTAAGCCACTTTCTAATTTCAAATTCTACACTATGTTTTTCAGAGCTCCGGTAGAATAAGAGGATGCTTGATAAACCCATCCGAGAAATTGGAAGGAAAAAGACTATTTACAAGCACAAGGAAAGAAACTGATTGTGGAGATAAAAAAAAAAAAATGTAAAGGAAGGGCAGATGGTAAGTTATTCTCTATAGATAATTTCATTTCAGTTTCTTAGACTTTATGACTCTCTTTTCTCCCATAGGCCCCATCTGCTTTATTGCCCAAGTTGCTCCCATAAAGACATTTTGGAATTTTTTTTGATCAGATTGATTTTAAAGATAGATTCATTAATGATAATTTAGTGAATTTTAATCTTCATTATATGAACCATCTAGAAGAAACAAGCTGTCCAAATTTAAAGCTCAAATAACAGAAGTGGAAGGGATAATGATGGACAATATTGAGAAAGTATAACAAGAGGCATCAAAGCCCAAGCACAAGAAGTCGATACAGGAGTCGTGAAAGAGACCTCCCTACAAGCTTTTTGGTCTGCAAACGTCGGCATGATTGCAAGTCTATTTTAATGTTTCTTAAATGAAAATTCAATTGCTATTATTTCTTGTAGTTGTTCAACCNAAAATGTGAAAATTTCAAGAAAAAATTTATTAAAAAACTAAAAATATAGGAAATTAAAATCGAATTTTTGGTGCTAATTTACATACAACTAATAAGTTTTATGGGTTGGCAGCAAATAAAATTCTTTATTCTATACAGTACCTCTGCAAAGGGAGTTTCATAAGAAGAAACAAAAATATGATGCTAATTGTCCAAGTCATCGAAGATATATCATCTAATCTCTTTTGACGAATCGACCCTGCAGAAAATGAGTCGCATTGTGACAAGAACTAGAAATTCAACCACATACCAAATCAATCTTAATTGAGAACACTATATAGAGAACATATTCGAGAGTTATACCTTAACACGAGGACGTTTTTCAGCATTAAGTTTTCTGACTTGATAACGTATTTTCTTGGCGAAGAGTCGATTCTGCCTCTTCTCCTTGTACCTCAAAACGCTAGCTTCCCTTTTCCCTAACTTCATTTCCTCTTCTTTCTTCGCTCCAATCCCAGGATTATGGATATTTCCAGCCAATACTGGTACTGTCCATGATCCCCCATTACATCCCCAACTCACCCCCTACGTGAACAAACAGGTTCCTTAAATTGAGTCGGTGGTAGATAAATACTAAAAACGAAAACAAAAATCACTAATAAAGGAAAAGCCAAGTAGACAGATGGAAGAGGGCCCAATGTAAAGAAAAAGTGCAACTTTATTACATAATGGTCCAAAGATTCCTGTGTGGAATTTAATCGTCACCCCACCACTTATTTCCCTATCCTTCCACTATAGTACTTTTACATTATGCAGTAGAGTTTCTTTAAATATTTTTTATTACAAATTTTATTTTATGATTATAAAATAGAAAAATTATTAGGGCCTGTTTCGTAGCGATTTTTTCTCCTAAAAAATTGAATTCTTGATCATTATTTTACTATTTCAACCGTCATATTTGACTTCTTCTCTCACATGTGGACCTCACTTTTTTCGTAAGTATCAAAAAATTAATTCTCAAAATTACTTCTAAACAGGCTCTTAATGAATTTTAAACAATTTGGTCCAAGAGGGCCTCAATATATATAGCCAAAAGTCAGATACTATGCTCACCGGCCCTCGACCTACTCAGTGTCCAAGAAGTCGTAAGTAGAGTAAAAATATTGTTATCTATTATTAATCATTAGCAAAGCCGTTGATTTATTGTCTAATGAAAGGACTCAATTTCACTTACGTGATGATAATTATCATGATGTGCAAGTAAAACCGCCCCGTTGACTTGTTTCTCCATTAATTGTGGAGGAATTTTTTTTTTTTTGTTATGGTTAGTGTATTATTAAATTAAACACAAAAGATACAAAGAAAATCCCGGCTTATTCATCATTTCACCGTCAGTCTCACACTCCCTCATTAGGCTCTCCTAAATTGTAATTATATGAAATTATCAAAGAATTAAAGAACAATCAAAATACAGAGAAATTAAGAGTTAAGATCTTACATGGGCAAAAAACTCATCGTTAATATCAGGGACAGTTTGTGGAGTCTCTGCATGAATGTAAAGAGGACCTTTGTCGGACCAAGCATTCAAAATATCCTGATAATCCAGCTTCAAAGACAACCTTTTTGTCTTGTCGGCCGGATCTTTCCACCTTAGATCAGCGGCGCCGCTAGTAACCTCCTCCTCCTTCACCTTCCTCTCGACCATCTCCGAGTAATACACCCACTTTTCTTCACTGGGTTCTCTCTCCGTGTTCCTCAACGCCGTCCGTGCAAGCTCGCTGTCCTTTCCTCCGCAGGCGTACGTTAGCGAAGCTGATGGCGACAAACTGGTGATGCTGATACTATTGTTATTGAAGGAAGAGGTGGTGACGTTGGAGTCGTCGAGGAGGCCGTTGAGAGTAGTAGTTGCTCCGCCATCCCCTGCAGAGAAGAAGTAAGCAACGTTGTCTTGATCATGGATATATGTATACTTTTCTTCCACCAAATTTTCTGGGTGTGGTGGGAATAGGTCCAGCTGGTGGCAGTTACCACCGTAGGCGGCGGCAGCTTCGGATGAAGAGGTGGGTATTTCAGTGGATTTTTCAGGTGTTTTAGTTTCGTCCGGCGAAAGCTTAAGGCGGAGGCTCAAGAACTTGGGTTTTCTAGCTTTGGTTCTTGATTTACGAGATTTAAACCTCCTTGAATTCATCGAGAAGTGAAGGCAGGCAGTGATTTTATTTTATTTTTTTTGCAGAAGAAAATAAAATTTGATATCTGAATTTTTATCTGTATATGAGTATCATGCAAAAAATATCTTGAGGCTGCAGAATCATACGAAAAGTGATGAAAAAGTGAAGCCCTTGTGGGGGAAAGACTTGACCTTTTTGGGAGGAGAGATATTTTATGATGAGATGAGGTGTTGCTTTAATTGAGGCACGTGGAATGAGATGATTGGCTGAGAGTTGCAGATCGTAATGTTATCTAGATTTCCTGTTGGCGGTTGAATTTGGATATTGAGCAATTAATTAATAAATTGCGTTAAATATGGTTTCACTTTCACGTGCTTTTTACACGCGGCTCACGTGATGATTTTTATAATTACTACATAAATTATTTAAAATTCAAAATAATGTGTGACCTCATTATAAATCCCAAGCAACGCGAACGGATTGTCAATTCATGTACACTTTTTATTTTTTCAATTATGTTCAAAAGTTTACTGCCATGTTTGGCCCCATTAATTTTAATTCAATTACATTTCATTTTTCTCTCTTATTTTCAATTACACAATTTTTCATAAAATAATATTACACGTAAATTGAAAATATTTTTTTCTTTTTCAACCACTCATTTTTCAAAAAAATAATATTCCACCCATTCTAAAAAAAGATTAAACCCTAATCTTAAGGGTCCCTCACCACTCCCGCGCTAGAGTATCGTGAGGGAGGTAAATCGCAAGTTATGCCTCTAAGGGTATAGGGTGGAAGGCTGCTTGTACACTTGCATTTACCCAAAAGCCAAATCCATATTTCAGAATTCAAACCCTTGACGCAGCAGCCTCAAGCAAAATTGAATTTCTCCACCCTCCCCTTTTACCACTTGGAGATGTGTCCTGGGGGCCTATTCCACCCATTCTCATTGACCCAAATGGGGGCTAAACGGATTCACAAAGACAATCTTATACTTTTACAGATTGCTTCAGGAAAATTTGGACAATAGGGCCCTCCTTGACCTTGTGGTTGGTTCAAGGAAATTAACAGTTTGAGATGTTACACTAGGGACGGATCCAAGTTTGAATTTAAGATCGGGATAAAAAATTTTAAGCCCGGCTAATACGCGAAAAAAAAAGTTTATTCATTAAAAATCTATTTTTACAAAAAAAAATAAAGAAAATTACCCTAAAAAAAATTAATTGGACCAGGTTCCCCGTCCCCTCTCCCCTAAATCCGTTCCTATGTTACACAAAGCGTGTGTTTGAATCTCATTTTTAATGAGCTTTCTTATTTTTTAACAGTACTTAATTCTTAAAAAATTATGCAGTGCACGGTGTATTGACAAGCAAAATAATTGTTGCAAAAAACTTTTTAATTCAAATGTCAAAAACACCCTCATTTTTTAAAACCAATTTCCAAAAATATCCCACCCATTCCTTCAGTTTTAAATAATCTCCCACCATTTTTTTTTGAAGGGTACACTAGGAACACATATTCTTGGACTTGCACATTTTCCCAAAAGTCAACCTTGCTGTGTTTTTCTCATAATTTCTGAGAATGTGGCCCCCACAGATTCAGAAAATGAAATTGTCCAAAAAATCATTTGAATGGGGTTCAAACAGGGAAATACCTCAAATTGACCTAAATAAAGGAAGGATTTTTCAAAATAGCCTTTGACTTTTTTAAACATTTTGGATTACCTAAAATACCCTTAAACAAATATTAAAAAACAACCCTTTATCCAATATAAATCTTCTATTTAAGTCCTTAAAAAATTAACATATAATTTTTCTAAAAATTTGTGAGAATTATTAATGACTAATCATAAAATAGAAAAATCCAAATATAAGAGAGGACCATATAATATAAAAAAGGTTGTTAAAAATAAAAAAGAAATTAAGTTTGAAAAAGAAATTGATAAGATAGGATATCAAGAACAATTATATGCATCACAAGAAATATTAAAATGCTTCAAAAAAAACTTATTAGAAAATTTTGCTAAAGGAATTGTTAGAACAATAATTATAAAAGATATACAAGATATTATAGATAAATTGGAAAAAAGGAAGAAAAATATTTCAAAATTTGATATACCTTTTAGAACAGATATAGATATGATAACAGATATTGATATTATAAATTCTCAAACATTATTAGACTTTGAAGAATTACTTAA